CCCCTGTTCTTTCTGTTCCACCCTAAGGGCCTGAACGCTGGAGCAGGAGGGGTCGGCTGGGCTTCTGGCTTCTCCACCAGTTCTCCACTTGCCAGCTGTGCAGTCGGGGGTTTCAAGGAGAACAATTACATGCAGAACACATACTTTATAGTAGTATCTATAATAGTCACCTAAGGAGTCAAATACAAAGAAAGTGCAGGAAATTCGTCTACACTGAAGACCTAGAGAATCCACCAATGGCCTGAATCGCTCGGCAATAACCTGCATGAATTCGGCCAAAGACCTGGAGCCCTCATAGTGACTCAGGCAAGTCTGGATCACAGATCTGCGCTGGGAAGGCCCAAAGTAGTGCAAGTTAGAAAGTCTCTGCCACAGAAGGATCTGTGCCAGCAGGGTGAGGGGTCTGCACTGGAGCCAAGAAGCAATGCTCAAAATAAGGACCAGGTTCCCCCAGGCCATCCTCAGTGACAGGGAGGTCCTGGGCTCCTCCAACCAGGAGAACAGCAGAGTTCATATCAGGTAGCCTGAGTGACAAGCTTCTCCTGGTGATTGAACGGCACACATCTTCCCCTCTGGAGCCAGTAAATGATGCTCAAAGTAAGGACCAGAGCTCCCCCAAAGTGAACCACAAGCTGTTCTCAAAGACTAGGTCTCAAGCTCCTCCAATATCAGGCAAGCCAGCATGACGAGCTCCTCTAGGAGAACCAACGGCTCCAAACACCACTTGGGAGAACCCACAGGCTACTCCTCCTCTGCAGGTCTCCTTCTTATGCTGGCAGCATCCTCAGGTGGGCCGTCCACGCTCAGCACCACACTGATGCAGTTCAGCTGGCGTTAAGTTGACCACTAGCTACCAATTCACTACACCAGGCAATGCTCATGACCCATCTCAGAGTGACAGCGTGAGGTCATGCTGAGAGGCACCTGTGACCATCCACCAGGAATGCCTACTGGTCTTCACTTCTCACAGTAAATCTGCTGTGACCATCAGAGAAATAGAACAGAATATGCTCCCCCAACAGAGCCACAGTTGCAAAATCAGTATGCAAGAAAGTTATTAAAGAGAAGCCAGTCATAGTGATGCACACCTATAATCCCAGCACTTGGGAGGCTGAGGCAGGAGGATCACTAGAAATTCAAGGCCAGTCTGGGCTACATAATGAGTTCAAGCACAGCCCGAATGAAACCCTGTCTCCACAAACAAACAAACAAAATCCCTATTATTAGAACTAAGGAATAGAATTAAATAAACTACCAGGCACAGTGTAAGTTAAACATGTTAAACCACTCAGGAAAATGCTATTTTATAAATGAAAGGTACCATGTTGCACAAAGTACTTAATATAGCAGCATATGTCCTGCAAAGAAAGGAGAGGCCTCTTGGATTACTGGATACAAAATATGCCCATGAAATATGCCTGTGACATCTCCAGAACCCTTGCAGTCTGTTTCCATGGAGGGTCATGGTCATGCAGCCTTTTTGGTGGGACTGGGATGGAGCCCAGGCCCAACTTGCACTCTGCAGCTAGGAAATAGACTGTAAGCACGGAGCACACCGAGCAGTTCTCCACCGAGAAAGTGCAGAACGAGGGATCCTCACTGTGATTAGACCTTGCCTGAAGGTTTCCTTCACTCTTGTCCACAGTTTTAAGCACTGCAGGTAAAGTTAAGATTCACCTCCGTCACCACCCTTATGCCCGGCTGACTGAATCAGCCCCACTCCCCGTGATGCCCGGTGGCCTGAGCACAGTGTGACCCGATCCAAAGTCTCCTGCACTGTCTTGTGGGTGTCTGTGCAGGGCGGCCCCTCATCCTCCACGGGCAACTGCACCAGGAACTCTTGTGGCAGCAGACCCAGTGTGATCGGTTCCCTTGTGTTGCCTGGCATGGTGCTCGTGTAGACCCTAGCGTGTCCCAATCCCCGACACAAGGCAAATGCACTGTGAGTGGTTGCCGCGCTGCATCGTTTTAAGGACTAACCACAAGACAAAAGTCTGCACAGGTTCAGTGAAGATGCAGTCTTTCCCAGACCCTGGCAATTCATGGCTGGTTGAAGCTGTGGATGGGGAGCCTGCAGGCATGGGGGGCCGACTGTGTACCCACAAATCTGACAGAGGACTTCTTGTGTGTGTTTGTGATCCAAATGCTGTAATTCTCACACTTCATTAGGTGGAACGTCCTGGAAACCAACTGCATCTAGATCCAGCTCAGTCCTGTGAACTGCTGTCTGACTGTCACAGTCTGACATATCAGGTTTTACCTGTCCCCCCCGTATGTAAATGTACAGGTTGCCTCCCAGTTTTCATACAGTGCGGCAGGGAACATCTTGAGCAGCTGTGTGCACAAATGCAAAGCTTTCTCCAGAGCTCACATGAAGGGTTTTGACACGAAGATCAATCAAGGGCTTGTCCTGACCTTATTTCCATAATAGATGACACATTTTCCTTTGCATTTTATTTTTTACTGCTGTGAACGACTCATGGATGCGAATGAAAATTCCCTTCTGAGCAAGGCGCGTCATTTCGAACCATCGATGTTGCCATCAGCATGGTACCTTTGTGAGCTTGTTTGTCCCTTTGGTGTGAAGTGCGACAGAATAAACAGTAGCATCCAGGGATGTGCGATAGCTTTGCTCTCCCAATTATTTTCCGCTATCTCAAGAAAGAACAGGCGATGCATGTGTCGGTAAGAATGCAGTTGAGGAACTGCACGTGATCTCATCTTCCAGCCTAATGTTTCTGCCTTCATCATGAGATCAGCTGCATTTTATTTTCCAGTCCCGTAGAATAACACCCAGTTCTAGTCAGCATGTTTAATGTACTTCTCAATGATGTTCTAGCACAATAAATCTCTGTATCTCGTGCATGTGTACATATGGTAAGAATTTCTTTGCGTTCTAGCCATGTGGGGGAGGACCATTGCGGTTGCTTTGTCAATGCAGTGTTTGTGTTGGATCGCGGAGGGCCTTGCGCTTTAACTCTGCACGCTGGGCGTAATGAGCCGGCTTTGATGGTGGTGTAAGATCTGGTGGGACGGTCACAGCTTCACACTTCAAAGCCGAGCATATGGGGTAGGAATACTGCTTAGCTTTGTACTCTTCCGGGACGGTTGGAGACAATTCTTAACAACTCCGTTTAATGAAGACATTGGAAAAGAAATGTTCTATCTTTAAAATAATTTTGAATTGCAAAGAGAGAAATTTCTACCACCCCTTCCCTAGACTCCACAGAGAATAATTCTTCCTCGTCTGTACTTAATTAGAGGCAGGGTAGCATCCCTGCCACGCCGTGGTTTCAAAAGCCGCTCTTTCCAAGGCACCATCGCAAGAGTAACCGGCCAGTTTTATTTTAGATATGTGTATGAATTTAGGCAAAAACTTCTAGGGCTATCTGTTTTACCATCTGAATGATTTTTATCACTTCTGGTAAAGATTTTCCTCCCTTCTCATTAAAAAATACCTAAATAAAAAAATCAGCTAAACAAAAAACTTGGCTATATTAAGAGAGCTGTACTATAACTAGAGGATGCTTGCAGGATTTCAAGTCTAGCACCCAGTTTAATTTTTAGATTTTGTGCTTTTTCTTTCCTCCCTCTACTTTCAGTCTGAGGTGCTAGAGGTTGGAAAATTCTTTCTGATTGGTATTTGCTTCTGAAAATATTTGATCCTTCTTTGAGCATGCCTCGAGTTCTGGTGTAGGATTAGGGTGATGGCCACACATGCCGGCAGGTCCTGGAGGAAAGGCAGCCGCAGGCGCGCTGTCACTTCCAAATTGCGCATTTTGGCTGGCTTGAAACGCGGAGCGAGATGGAGCTGGCGAGCCACGTTCCGTGAGCTGCTGAAGCGGAGTCTGTTTAACGTGCAGCTCTGACTCATTGATTCCAGGGGCCCTCGGGCTCTGATGGAGACGCCCGGGAGGGGACCGGCCTTCACCTCCACCTTGGGCTGCAGTGGCGTCGGCCAGGGCCGGCAGATGCTCTGAGGGACAGGTCCCCTGCGGCTCTTCGCCTGCGGACGTCCCGGTCACACACTGCAGCCAGCCACTCGGAGAAAGCGGCCAGGCAGGGAGCAGGAACCGCCCTCTCCACACGCGGGGAGCTCATTGCCTGGCCTCCTCTGCGCCACTCACGGGGCTCTCCAGAGCTACGGCTGAAAGCGCTGAACGTCGTTGTAAAGAAAGTTGTAAAGAGTGTCAGCCAGCCACGAAGGTCTGAGAAATACATTTTATTTACCTATTTTTCTTTCTTCTCTTCTTAGTCCATGTTTGCGGTGCATTAGGATTGCGTTCACATTTGGGGGTTGGTGCAGGTCACGACACACTTCAATTCCCTTCTTTCCCCCTCCCTCGTCCTTTTATTTCCCAGCGTCAGATTCAGTTATTTATCTTATAAGACCTGATAAAGTTAATTATCACACATGCAGACTGAAAGCCAGACTAATAGGCCAAAAAGCATCTAAATATGTAAGACAATTGTCCAAAGTCAAGGTACACTTTGTGTGCTGGATTGCAATGTCTTTTTTTCCTGCTACCTGTCTTTTATATGGCCATATTATATATATACATAGTTCATAAAGGGAAACTACATGACATTTAAGTTTTTGTCCAAGTTATTTCACTTAGCATTCTGGCCTCAAGGTGCAGCCATTTCCCTACAAATGACACAAGCTTATCATTTTTTACACTCCGCTGGGTATAAACGCACATGTATTTATTATGACTTTAAAAGTGTTGCCATTAGATCAGCCTTTTCAGAACAGGACTAGAGAAACAGGAGAGCAGAACAGTTGATAACAGCTTGGGAAAACCTTGCCAGCTGTGAGCGCCAAACTCACCTGGTCTTTGGATGAAGTGCGGACGGGACAGGTCCTGTGTGTCTTGAGAGCATGAGCCAGCTCTGCACTCCTCTGGAAAAGCAGGCACAGCTGTGGGGCTCATCTGTTTGGGGACCCACTCTCAGGCCTCAAGGCAGGAGGGCATCCTGAGTGTGGGCTGACATGGTGGACCTGGCCCCAGGCTTCCTCAAGGAGCACCACGTGGTCTTGGTGGTGTTAAACCCAGCACTCATTTCCAGCACGTGGTGACCCCTTCCTTGCCTTGGTAAGTGTGGGGAAGATAGAGGCCATCACTGTCCTAGCCCACTGCAGGCTGAACCCACCCTAGAGAAGATGTCATGTGACACAGTCCTCCAGAAGAGAGTGAAGTCGGGTACTGAGAATTCAGGTATCAGAAGTAACAGAAGGATGTGTTATGGTTTGTGTCTGGGTGTCCCCCAGAAGCCTCATACAGTCACGGGGTGGGCCTTTGGTAGACAGCTGAATCTAGCATTTGTGATTGGTTCATTGCCGAGGGCTGGGAGTGCTGTGCCTACCCTGCGCCCACCCTGCACACAGGGTAGGGAGGGAAAGAGGCTTGCTCTCTCTTTCTCCTTCCCTTTTTTTCCCTGTGGTGAGGACTTGGCTCGTGTCTGCGCTGACCCGTATGGAGGGCCCTCAACCCTGTGGTCACTGAGCACTTGGAAGGTGGAAAGTGCAACTGAAAAACTGAAGTGTAATTATTTAAAATCATAGTTAACAGTGTCATGGGCAGCTGGGGGGCTGCTGTGGTGGGCAGTGAGGATCCAGTCCTCCCACTCATGACTTTTCATGTGTCCTAACATTATATGCAAGTTGGAGCTATTATAAAGTGACCACCGGGTGCGGAGGTGCACTCCTGTAATTCCAGGACTAGGGAGGCTGAGACAGGAGGATTGCCACGAGTTTGAGGTCATCCTGGGCTGCATAGTGAGTTCAAGGCCATCCTGGACTCAACTTCAAGACTCTGTCTCAAAAGCAAGCAAGCAAGCAATTCCATTAACCTTTGGGTGCACTTTCCCCTTGAAGTCAGTTTTGTCATGGGTTAGGGACCCACACCTCCTTGCCAAAGGGAAAACTTTATTATGAGACCCACTCGAAGAAAAATTTAATTGTGCTCAAACTTTGATTTTTATAAGTTGTATACATCATGCTTTTGTGGTCATGTCTGCAAAACAATGTCAACTTTGTCTACGAAGTGCGTAATTAGAATGTGTCACTTTAACCACGGTGATGCACTTTATGTTCAGCATATTTTGCTCCGTTATAGGTGTGTCTAGAGGTCCCCCCAAAGCCTCACGCACTCATAGATGGGGCTTTTCCTCAGTGGCTGGATCTCGGACGTGTGGTGCCGGAATTAGCAGTGTGTGAGACTGAACGGCTCGTCTGGGCGTGGATGATGGAAGCTCACCCAGGGTGTGGGTGGCACCACGACAGGCTTGTGGCCTGAATGAGTTAAAAGGGAGGGAGAAGGCAGGCTGCTGCTGCTTGCCCTGCCGCCTCCTGCCTGCCTGCCACGAACTGTTCCTCTGTCACCCCCTGCCACGCTGCCCTGCCTTGGAGCAGCCAACACTGAGCCCTCTACACACTGTGAGCTGATGTAAGCCTTCCCTCCTGTCACTTGCAGGTGGCAGTATTCTGTGCCAGCAATGAAGAAGTAACTAAGCCACCACTGTGACATAATGTTATGCTTTGTTTTATGTTACTAGGCCTAATTTTGATCTGGCGTTGTTGAGATTTCTCACTACCTAGTCCTTGCTGAGAATTTGGTCCGGCTGGGTCCCAGCTAGGATGTACTTCTCATCGGTGACCCACCTGCCCCAGAAGCCAGTCTCTCTGGGAGATGGAGGGACCTCTGTGCTCTTCATCCTGCCTGGGAGCTGCCCCTGCTCCACAGTCCTCATCATGACAACAGCACCTGGTGATCCCTGCAGGGAAGCCCAGGGTGGTGCCCCAGGGTCTGACTCACACTCCAGCCCTGTTGAGCTCCCTAGAAGCACTATCATGTTCCAGTGGGGCCCCAGAACAATATGGAGATTCTAGGAGCAAGTCTCAGTGTGACCCTGGGGGTGGGCCCAAGTGCAGCTCTGAGCACAGGGCAGGATCCTGGGGCCCCCACCGGTGGCCACGTGGCCTTATCTGGTGTGATGCGGATGCCCTAGTGGGCAGGGAGGGGTGTCAGGAGTGGAGCATCCAGTGTGGCCCAGGTGGTGTTTACAGCTGGAAATGGGGTACAGGGAAGTTTCAAGAACAGGTAGCACAAGCAGCAGGCAAGGGGCTCCTCCTAGGGGCTCCCGTTGTGGCCCTGTGTGGCTCCATCCTCACTCTGGGCCCCACTACCTGCACCCCAGCACCCTAGGATCTTTTATTTGAATATTCATTCTTTCATTCTCAAGTGTCTTCTATAGTGTTCAAAAGTCATGCTGTGGTCAGCGTTTGCCGTTGCTAAACTGCCAGGTACCCAGGAAGCCTAAGAAACCGTGCTCCATCCCGAGCCTCTGCATCAGGAGCACACAGGCCCGGGGGACCAGCCTGGAACCCTGCTCCTAAGCAAACCTGAGCCACCACCTCCTCCAGCCAGAGCCAGCCCTGCCGTGGGGCTTGTCATCTTGGGGAGCCGCTTCCCAGCTGGAGCATGGAGTCGTGGTGGTGTCTGCTCCGAAGGTGAAATAATGTCTGTAAAGTGTCCAGCCAGTCCTAAAAGGGCGGGTGGAGATCTGTGAAAATGTTACTTAGATGTTTCTCATTCTGTGCTCTGTTAGAAGAGGAAGGAACAGTTGCGCTCTGCCTGCGTAATCTCCAGTGATTTGCCTCACACAGAGCAGTGTCACTTTATGACTAAATTTTCAGATGTCTATTTCTTGGCTTCTAATCTGAGCCTCCTAAAGAGAAGAGAGGCTACACCACACATGTAGGCAGTCCTGGACCCGGCGGGGTGGGGCAACCAGCGGTCAGGCACGTGGACCAGAGTTCTGAGGAGGTGTGTCAGTGTTAAAAGTAAAATCACTGGCTTTCGAGTTAGGTTAAACAAACTTGAATAATGTAATTTTTTTTTTTTTTTTTTTTTTGTACTGAGGACCGATCTCATGAACTCATGCTTGCCAGACAGGTGCTTTTGCCACTGAGCTAAATCCCCAGCCCTGAAGAATGTGTTTCTTGTTGTGTTTTTCTGTTGAGTAAATGGGCTGGTATTTGGGGAGACCTTTAACATCTGAATTAAAGAACACCTCTAATAGTATCACTACTTGTACTTTGTCTGCCAAGAACGAACTTGATGTGTAGTTGGTTAAGCCGGAGGAAATGTTGCTCCCTGCTCTCTGCAGAGCTACAGCTCACCCCCAGCTGGAATGCTCTGTGTTTCATTCCATCATCACTCCATTTAGATTGCTTGATTTGAAATGAACAACCCCAGGAGATTTCTGAGATTTTTTTTTTTTGTCTAATTTTCCTTCTAGGGATTTTTGACTTCTATGGAAAATTTCAACAAAACCTGCAAATACTAAGTTAAACCTTGATGCTAAAACTGCCACAAAAGTGTTTAAAGATGATTGTTTAAAGGTCACTTTTAAGCAAATAAATACATTAAAAAATGTTCAACAGCGCTGGTCATTTGAGAAATGCAAATGAAAACAACACTGAGATTCTACCTCACCCCAGAAAGAAGGGCTAGTATTAAGAAATCAACCAATAACAAATGCTGGAGGGGATGTGGGGTAAAAGGAGCCCTTCTCCACTGTTGGTGGGAGTGCAGAATGGTGCAACCACTGTGGAAATCAGTGTGGAGATTCCTCAAAAAAAAAAAAAATAGGACTAGAGGTCCCATTCGACCCAGCTATTCCCCTTCTGGTATCTTCCCAAAAGAGCTGAAGACATCATATCACAGCAATATGTGTGTACCCATGTTTGTAACGGCACAGTTTATAATAGCCAGACCTTGGAAACAACCTAAATGCCCATCAACTGAGGAACAGATAAAAAAGATGTGGTATTTCTATATAATGAAATACTATCCAGCCATAAAGAATGATAAATCGGACACTTTTATAGGTAAATGGATACACTTTGAGAAAATACTTATTCGTGAAATAAATAAGACATGCATGTGTAAACATATTGTTTCACGAGTGTGACAAGCAGAAAGAAAAATCATGTATATGTGTATGTATGTGTATATAAAAAATATTTGAGACAGTTAAAAAGAAAAGCAGCATAGTGGCCTCCTGTGTCTTGCACGTGGCCTGTTCAGAAGCAAACTCAGCCCTTCTCTTCACTGAACACCCCTGTAGGTGCCCCCTTCCCTTCTACAGCTTGTCCCAGTCTCTGTCCCAAAGCAAATGACCTCAGCCAAAGCAAGGACTCAGGCCACACCTGCCTTTGCTTTACCCCACTGTGACCATTTCGAGTTGACTTTTGGATGTCTTAAGAAATTTCTGATGTGCTGTAAGATTTGGGATTTTTTGCATGTGGATATCCAGTTGTTCTGGTATATTTATTGAGGGTACAATCCTTTCTCTGTTTGATGGCTTTTGCATCTTTGCCAAAAATCAATTATCTGTTACATAGATATCTACTTTGGGTCTTTGTATTGGTGCTTTGGTGGTTTGCCTATTGTTATGCATTAAGAACTGGTGGTCAACTTACCCAGCTGGATTACATCAGCATGGCATTGAGCGAAGATGCTCCACCTGAGGAAAGTTGTCAGGATAAATAGGTGGAGAAGAAGGAGGCATTGTGGGTTCTCTTACGAGTTGCTGTCTGAGCTGTTGGTTCTCCTGGAGAAGCTCTGGTCCTCACATCGAGCATTGCTTCCTGGCTCCGGAGGGGAAGAAATGTGCTGCTTGGTCTCCAGGATGAACTCGTCACGCTGCTTCCTGGCATGTACCCCACTGTGCTTGTCGTCGGAGGAGCTCGGGCCTCCATGTCACTGAGGATGGCTGTGGTGCTTTCAGGACAGCCCTGGTCTTTGTTGTGAGTGTGACTTCTCGGCTCCAGCGTAGAACCCTCATCCCACTAGCACAGCTCCTTCATCCTGCTGGCATAGACTTTCTGGCTTCCACCGCTGACCCTTGGGTCTTCCCGACACAGATCCGTAAAAGAGACTGGCATGAGTCCTTCTTGTGGGCTCTGGACCTCCAACTGGACTCGTGGGAGGCATTGTCCTGAGCTCTGGGATTTTATCTGGACTCATGTGGGCCATTGCTGTGGGATTTAGGCCCTTGACTTAATAATCTATGTCTTTGGTGTTGCAGATAGATTTCCTGCATTTTCCTGTGTTAACTTCCGGTGACCATTATAAAAACAATATTATAAACTCCATGTCTTGATCCTAACTGTTCTCTGTGTACAACCCTGACTACAACACCTATCTTGATATCAGTGCTGTTTTTCACAACTGAGGTAACTTTGTGATAAGTCGTGGATTGGGGAGGGTTGGAGCTCTAATTTTATCCTTTATCAAAGCTGTTTAGTCTATTCTGAGTCTTTCCATTTCTACAGAAATGTAAGAATCAAAATGTTAATCTTTATGAAAAATGATATTGACAGTTTGATGAGATTGTGTTCTCTATCTTTATTGTTTTCTTCTATTTGTTTTATTCTGTCTTTTATTTCTAATTTCTTAAGAAAAGATATGAGGAGATTTCATAACTTTTCTAGTAAATGTACCTTGAAAAAAATAAAGATCATGTTTAATACCAATGACTATGTAGTTAGAGACACTCATATAGCCAAAGGTAGTATGAATCGCTGTGTTTTAGAAGTGAGGTGGGATGTGTACCCAGACTAAAAATGAAGGTGATTGCCTCTCAGCAATTCTAGAGCTAGCGATAAATCCTAAGGCGATAATAAGATACATAGATACTTTTTAAAAGAGGATAAAACAGAATATAACCAATCAAAACAAATCAGTGTAAAAGATACAGGACTTTAAAGCATTATGAAATCAACAATAGTTACCATAATACCTTTTGATGTCTTCAAAATAGCTGCAGATAACTTCAGATATAGTAAAGGTCAAACAGAACAGAATAGGACAGAAATAATGAAAACAAGACAAGGAATGTAATAAAGGACTCCAAAACAAGCCAATAGTAAATCCAAAATTGCTGCCATAATATATCTTGCTATCGTTGAATAGCTTGTTTGAAACATAATCAGACAACACAAAAGAAAATAAAACCCAACCCAACAAAACAGTGTAAATGATATAGGACTTCCAGAACAAGACCTAGGGAGTCAACAATGGCTGCAACCCTCAGAAGGAGATCCCCCCTAGATGTCACACTGAATACCGCTGTCCTCTGAGTCTGTGATCGGACCACTGTCCCTAGGCCTGCAGTGTTAGTGAAGCATCAAAGCCTCACAGGTATCCACTGCATTTCACCTCCATAGCTGTCACCACAGCCCGTGTTCCTCTGGATGATCCAGTCGCTTACAGCAGGTGGATGGGGGTGGGGGTGGGGTGAGGGCTTTGCCAGCCCATGGAGGGGGCTGGGGTCTGTCTGGATGTTTCAGTCTGGTGGGGACCCACATGTGATGCTGGTCCCTAGACTGGGCTTGTTTGCTGGTATGGCTTTGTTCTCTCTGCCCCTGTCCACCAATGGCGCTGACTCACGGGGAGAGGCTGGTTCTGTCTGCTCCAGTCCAGCAGTGGCCCACGCATGGCGCTGGTTCCTAGACTGGGCTTGCTTTCTCTAGACATAGATACTTTTGCACAAATATATTCATTGAAACATTATAATAATAAACACTACAAACAATGTAAATGTATTGTATTTGAGTAATGATTAATTAAATATGTCTCATGAGGTTTCGGAAGAATTTTTAGATATGGAAAATATAATCTATATAGAGAGAATTTATAGTTAATGAATTGATGTACCAAAGATTCATTAAATAACCTGCCAGGAGAGATCATCAGTAGGCAAAATAGAATCTCTATCCTTGCCAGAAATTTATACTGTATTTGGGGAAAACAGTGGAGAGACGATAAATAACAAGCTTTGGAAGGAAATAAAAGAAAATCATGTGAACTGCACCAGGTGAAGGGAGACATAAGGGCGACCATCAACACAGAAATAGACAAGGCGGGGCAGTGAGGGTTCTGGGTGGGTCCAGTCCTGGTTCTGGATGAGACCCTCCAAGTTGGGGATCATGGTGAAGGCAGCGTCGAGAGATGAGAAGTGGGGTGCCAGCCACGGGAAAGAGAGGGCTTCAGCAGCAGCGGGTGAACCGCAGCCTCAAGGTGGAAGGGTGTCATGGTAGAAGCAGTGTGAGCTCAGTATTCTGAAATACGTGTTTTATCGGTAACACATATGTACAAAGAAAACATCTTTAACCTCCTGAAGATTCCAGCTGAGTTTTGTAATTTCTCTCGGTGAATCTCGTGATCCCCATCACCACCTCCTGCAGGCTCAGTCTGGTGACCCTGGTACAGCAGGGTTCAGTGCACTCATCCGGCTGGGCTCCAGGGAAGACCCGTGATGAGGAAGGGGTAGCACCTTCCCCAGGGGCCTCCTGTCACGCCTGTTGCTGATGAAGGGTGGGCGCTGCATTTGAGGAGGGAGCCTGGAAACCCTGAGCCACCCAGGTCAGGCGGAGACCACCGGGCCTCACTCTGAGAGCAGGGTAATAAAGCAGTCTCAGGGCAGAAACGTCAAGTGCTTAGGGGCACTAACTCGTGGCCGAGGTTTTACAAACTAGGTAGTAATTAGGATCTAATTCTCTTACGGAAATCTTATGTTACTGTAATTGTGCATATTCTCCCTTAAAATTTTTTATCTAGAAATTTTGTCTAGAATTTTTTAATCTAGAATTTTTAAAGTCTGTTTTCATCTTTTGAAGTAATATCCATTGAAATAGAATTTATATCATCTCTTTCTTTAGGATGGAAATGTTATTTATCTACCTTTTCAATGAATTTAGTTGTGAATAATAGTGTTCCCCCTTTTAAAATGGCTTTACAGGGCTGGGGATATAGCTCAGTGGCATAAGCCCCTGTGTGAGTCCTGAGCTCAATTCCTGACACAATAAATACATAAGTAAATAATGAATGAAATGACCTTATGCATGTCTGTCTGGCCTTTTAAATGACCATACTCGTATTTTTTCCTTAACCTTTTTTTGTTATGCCAGTATTGCCCAACGTATTTCTCCGTTCTTTCCACCAAATCAGAAAATCTTTTTTTTTGCTATGTTTATCTTTTTGCTGAAAAGTTAAATAGAAATGATGGGTGCCAACAGCCTTGTGACAGATTAGTGTGCACGTCCCCAAGGGGCAGTGAGGCTCTCTCAGTGAACACGTTTATGTTTTGAATCGGGGAAAAAGTGAGCTCAGAGATAGCTAACAGTCTTCGTCAGTGCCAAACACACAGAACCGTTTCAGCCAGATTCCTGCTAAGAGTCTGCAGGCGGCCAGCTCGTGGGGAACGTGTGTAGGGCAGAGCAGAGACAGCTGACGCTTTGGGGTCTGTTCCTAGGGACTTGATTCTTCTATATTTTAGCACTCTAAACATAGAGGGATAATTTCAACATTGCTCTCTGCTATAGTGTGTGAATGGCCTTAATTGATGCATCTTTTAAAATGCAGGGAAAACTCTGGCTGGCTTCACTGCACAGACCCACTTCTGTGGCCTGCAAGACAGGGTGAGCTCTGGCTTCAGCCTGGCGCGGGAGCATCACAGCCATGTCGCAGAGTGGGTCCCAGAGGTGGAGCCTGGGGAGCAGCCCAGTGCCTCACCTGGTGCCCCTCACCTGCTGTGGCCTCGATACTTACCACCATGCAGTTCTGTTTGCCTGCAGACTGTCGTCACGAATGTCTGGTGTCAGCTGCAGTTTCTCCCCACACATACGTGTTCTCAGGCGTTTTCCGTACTCAGAGGGACGGCAGCTGACTGCTCCCGCTGCAGTCACGGACAGGAGTCCCAAGTCTGGTGCCTGGCCGTGCTCCTTACCTGAAGCAAAGACCAGCTTCGCCTCACCTCCGTCTTCTTCGTGCCTTGCTGTCCAGCAACCTGTGAAGGTCTGGCGCTGAGCAGGTTTTCAGGGGAAAAGGCACTGAATGGGGGAGCTGAGATGCTAGCAGAGAACCTATTTATTTAAACTGTAATCGAGCTCTCCGGGGTGAAGTTAGCTCTTCAGATGTGAAATCACCAGACACCCCCAGACACCCCCACCTCCTCCTGCTGTGCCAGTCCCGGGCATGGAGCGCCCTTGACGGTGAGCGAGCGGGATTTGGAGGCCGTCCAGGGCCGCTCCTGCCCTCCGAGATGCGAGACACTCAGAGGATCTTTTCACCTCTGACTGATTGAAAGTGATAGTGTCTGGAACTGTTTTTGAGAATAATTTTGATCTACAGGGAAAAAAAAAAAACACGTGTTTCTTCTGAGTGCAGCTTTTCCGTTCTCCTACTGGGCTCTTCGATATTGTTTTGTCTGATGCAGTTTTTATGTGTGTCATTCCAGACGTGGCCCCACCACAAGCATCTTTAAACCAGACATTAATAGCATAGTTCACAGTCATTACTGTCAGTGCTTGAACACAAATATTGCATTTGTGTTTGCAAAGCTGCACATCAGATGTTAATTAGTGCATTTGGGTTTTTCTTTCCTGCTAAAACAATCTGGTGAAAGGGTTTGCATCTATATCAGATCACCGTGAGGGCTCACATGCCTGAATCACCAGATGCACAATACATGATAAATACAGTGTTTCCACACCAGAACCCAGGCCTGTTATGGCTGCCCTTGAAATAATAGCAGCTCAGTTTCTTTTTCTTCTTAATAAAAAGTACTTAGGTGTAAACCCCAACATTCGGCATGATGTGCTTTTCATTACATGCCGCGTGGAAAGTACAGAGGGAGCAGAGTTTTCTTCGTGGCTCACAGCTTCTGTATCGCGTCGTGCCATCGCTCTGGGATCACTGGCGTTCCAGCCCCGTGGCTGGGGTCCTTGTGCTGCCGAGCAGTGCCGGGCTGGGGGCAGCTGCAAACTGAGAAATGCACTTGCATCTTGGGTTTCTCATCTTAGAGCAAAAAGTGGAAAGACTTTCATTCTATGACATTTAACTAGAAAGCTGATTTTCTGGGATTAACCATCTCTCTCGTTTAAAATACCTTCTTAGTAAGTTTCAATTAACGTGAAAGGCATGTTCAGCATTCAGATTAGGTCAACGGGACTGCTCAATCTAAGCCTAGGATTTGATTCTGTATAATTGGATCACCAGATTGGTTTTGACTTGGAAGGACTAAATGCAGGAAACTGGAAAAGCAGGAATTTGGACAGAAAGAGAAATATTCTTCTGCTGCCCTGTCTCTCTCCTGTCCCCTGAGAGAAGTGGGCTGTGGCCTCCAAACCCCTCCAATGGGCGGCGACCTGGGCGAGGGCAGAGACACCCCAGAGTCAGTCAGATCTCCGCTGCTCCCTGACAGAGCGGCAGCAACAGAGCAAAACCTGGCTGTCCTGTCAGCGAAGTGCGGCAGATGTGCAGCCTGCACAGCAAGGCACGTGCGAACACGTGTGCCTGCTGTGTCGGCTACGTCTGATTTAAAGGAATTTATAAAATGATCCCGAAGTCGAGCTCTATTTTCCTGAGGCAGTTAACTGTAAGGCCTGTAGCTGGCGGAACTGTGGAACGGCTTCCGTTTATCCGGAAGCTGGGGTTCTGGGGTCAGCGCCAAGCTGGTCCTGCCTGCGCATTT